AGTGTTTTTAAATTAAATTTACAAAAGTGAATTGATTATACTGTTCGAAAAAACCAAGTGTACTAACAATCATAAGTACAAACTTCAATAAATATTTTTTCTTCAGGCTAAATTATAATTCATTCACAAAAAGCAGTTCAGTCATTTTTTGTTCTGATCCGAGAATCACAGGCCGTCGAGCAAGGCTCATTATTCGCCTTCGTTAAATAAACTACAACTTATTATGATAAAAAGAAAATGAAAATGGAGCAGAATAAAGAATAAAACACAGTCCTCTGTTTAACTCATTTTTACACGAAAGAGAAAATCTCAAATATTTGAGAACAAGTCACATGCTGTTACTTAACAGTATAGTTAAGTAAACAGGAGAAAAAAATTCGCTCTCTCGCTCTCATCCAGTCTCTGGATTTTGCGATTTTTTCTGCGCGAAAAACATGAAACAAATCTTCTGCCAATTCTGTTCATTTTCTCTTCTGAGGCGAGAAAGTTTTTCACGCCGTTCAGTAAATGTTAGACAAGCATGAAAGTACGAAGTCAGTATTTCTGCTGGTTTTCATATACGTTGTAGATCATGCTGAATCATAGTTCATGTGAAAATATTTTGTTGCCGAATAGAGGTGTGGTTAAAGTTTTCGAGTCATCAATGCTCGAAGGCTAACCATAATCAGCACTTGTGTCAAAATCTATTAATTTCATATTTTTTCATAAATATACACAGGATGGATAGTTTGGCGCTGTCGCAATCTCAATATTATAACATTGCTGCAATCCAGAATTGATACCTACGCATATTTATATGTATACAAATGCTTGATTCTTTTCGTTTAGATGTCAAATTTATTTATGAAAATGAAAATATTTTTTTGAAGGGCGTGTTTACAGTTCTTTTTTTATATTTATCTCTCATTATATCTTTATATTTGTTACTTTATTTGTGTTTGGCATAAGTCATTGTTATTCTAGGGCACGGATCTTCGATGACTCTCGCTTTTCGTGAATAAAATAAATTAAATTAATAACCTTGTGAAGAAGTGAATTATCTAGTTTTATCATAATATAATTATCTAGTGCATATTTTTAACTAGCTCAACTGTTAAGATAAAGAAAAGCAGCTAATGAATGATTATCTTTCGTTTCTGGCGCCGTTCCTGTGGGTACGCGAGCGTTTAGTGAAAGCGCGTCGGAAGAGCGCTTTTCTTGACTTTTTTGGGCTTATTCTATGGGCTGAAGTATGCTGAATTTTATTTTAATATTTGCAGCGCACGAAATAACAAGCTTCATTATATTTTTCTCTATAAGCTACGCTAAAGCAAATAAACATCATCATTGGCGCTTAATGGCGGTAATAAGAGCGTTGCTACGGGCCATAAGAATAAGGCAATTGGAATTTGTTAAGGAGAAAAGATTACAGCAAGAACGTAGTAGAAGACGAATGAGGAGAGTATAAATAGACAAGTAAGTAAGTTTGTCAGTAAAATCGTAGTATTTTCCATCCACGTGCTTTCAGACAGTAATATAGTGAAATAGATTATTTTCCTTTGAAAACATGCACATTTAGATTTTATATATAACTGTTGTGAAACATTCAGTCTTACTTGCAGTTACTGTTGATGTCTTTACAGTTGATGTTACACTGGTAGATAAACCTAGCATAAAAACCGTTCATTTTAAATGTAGGAACAGTTTGAGTTCAGGATATCTCGATATGTAAAAGCAATCAGTAATTCCCCTTCTTTTACAGAAGTCATCCAGTCCTCTTTTCCAGTGCTCGTTTAAGGGTAGACCAAATATCAAAAACTGTGCCCTGTCAGCCTCTAGCCGAAATATGGTGGCATCCGTATTTAATGCATATTTTAGGGCTTCTAGCAAAACCTTTGAAAACATGCAAATTTAGATTTTATATATAACTGTTATGAAACATTGTTATGATCTGCCTTCCCCGGTAGCTCATAAGGTTCATTCTCTCTCCATTCTGCTCTTGTACTATTCTTGCGCAATTCTGTTATTGCGCAACTCTTGTTTCATTCTTTCGTTTTCGTTTCCTTCCGCAGTATATTTTCTCAACTCTTTCTATTCTTGCGCAATACTTGCTTCATCCTGTGATTTTCCTAACTCTTTCTGTTCTTATGTAACTCATGCGGGAAGTCTTGCAAAACTCTTGTTTAACTTTTGTACTCTATACTATAACCGTTCATTTGCTTCAAATAAAAAAGAGAGTGGGAGTTGGGTGTCGCAATTGGTGCACTAGCCGGCCGGTCGTCTTTTCCATCACGACTCGTTGTTGCCATTCTAGAGCCAGGTTATGCTTTCTCAATTTCTTTTCAATTTGGCAAGATGGGAATTGGACGAGTGCTTTACTTCCTTTCTCACCTTCCATCTCTCCCATACTAGCATTACGTATAACTTTCATTGGACTCTCTCAACCAGCACTCACGAATGATGACATTTTAATTGAACGCGTACCAAGTGGTTTTGTACCTGAGACTAGTATGGTGCTTCCTACAGCATTTCGCCTGTGGCAACATTTCCAAACATCATTTACGGCGATTCAACACTGCAAAAGTTTTCAAGCGGGCTACTAGTCGACGATAGTTGGTCTAGCAAAGGATGGAAAGCTGGTATGTGCATCGGATATACGAGTACATATCATCGGAATCATGTCCGTATTGCGCTTGACATGGATCAGCTAACGAATGTAGACAAAATCCTCGTCTATACACACGGTGGGACTTGTGCAGGGATTAATTGGCCGGATGCAGCTAGTATTCTTCTTAGCAGTGACTGTGTACCGCTATCGCCTTACAGCTCATCTGATTGTAATATCACTAGTCACCCATGCATTGATCGCACCATTACCGGTTATGAGGAACATAATGAACTGGATCAAGACGGCTACTTGTCATTCACCTTTGCAAACAAGCCCTTTATTCGGTGGGCAAAGTTAGACGTAGTAGCCACTGGTTAGTTAATGTTAGATGAAATTCAAGTATTTTCTAATGGTAAAACTAATAGAGGTTAATTCTTCTTAGTCTCTATTGAATCCTTTTCTATCCACTGCCTTGTGTGTATATAGAATGAATTTATTAACGAATAACGTTGGGAGTAGATTACAGGGGATAAAAAAGATGACGAAACAAACCAGAGGAAAATGAATAAAAGCGTTACCTATATTCTAGTCAGTGATATTGACGATACGATACTGTTAACTGCACGATAAGAACTGACTGAGTGATAAGAACTGTGTATGTGCTTTATATATGTGTGACTGTACATAGAAAAAACGTTCTAGAATCTTACTCTTTGTTCTATCTATTCTATGTCTGTTTATATGTGAACAAAGAATTGTGTGTCACTGTTATTACGAAATTATCTATATAGATATATGGTCACTGAGTGACGAGGACGAAAAGAGGACTAACTGTACTTGTATAGTCAACGACAAAAATAAAAACAAAAGAAATAATAACAAACGAAAAGTAAAGAAATAGACAGTTGACGGATCTGTAGCCGTTAACACTCCCCATCCCATGGAAGAACGTTACCCTATCAAACAAGAGATAAAAAACTTGGTTAATCGTTCAACGGGAATAATTATCCGATATGCTGTTCGTCTTCTGTCTTATCAATGTCTATGATATCTTGTATAATCGGTTGTTGTGAACGTTGAACTATGGCTGTGTGTCGAAGGTGGATGTAAATGTTCCCAATGCTGACGAGAGAACCAGTATTTGGTTAACAATTGCGAGTAGTTCTGTCGTTGCGTATCGTCGTGAAATGCGATAAAAAGATGTCGATTTTTATTACGATGTGCTGTATTTAGATTAGTGTAAGGGACATTTGCAGTGTCTAAGAGTTCTTTAATATTATGAAATGAAAATCGATAATCTGGATTGTTTAACACTATTTCGTTTTTCCTCTGTCGTTTACGCTGTTTTTGTGTCATTCTTTTATTTTTTTGACGTCGTTGTTCATCAGTCAATTTAGGTTTAGATTTTAATTTAGCTTGTGATGGTAACTGCTGATTTTTTGATGATGGTGAACGGGGAGACAGAGGTGAAGAGGACCGAGATGATATTTCAGCAACTTGTGGTCGTGAGGACAAAACTGGTTCTAACTGTGAATCTTCATCTGGTGCCATTATAACTAGACGTTCTTGAGTTCCGGTATTGATGGTTTGTGGAGGTGTTTCTAATTGTGGTGTTGAAATGTCGTTGGAAAATTGCGGTTGTGGTGACGGTAATGCAATGTCAGCGTCTCGTGAAAGATGTTCATATTCTATTGGTGTCAGAGGTCGTTTTTGTTCCTCCTCATCGGAAATATTTTCATACTGATCTATTGTAGATTGGAGAATGGTTGATGATATTAGGAATACTGCTGCTGGAGACGGTTGCATAAGTGATGGTGTTGATTCGGTGCCGTTTGAGATTTGCGGCTGTGTAATTGTTGGTGCAGCTAGTTGACATTGTGCGTTGATGTTCGTTAATTTTAATAAACGTTGTACAGCAAGGATATCCATTGCAGCATATGTTGCCCATTCGGCTTTCTGTTGAACTAATTCTTCTGATTGATCCTCGAATAATCGTGGATTAAAACCACTAGTAAAACGTCCTTTTCTTGGAGCTTTATTTAAAAATGATTGTTCAACTACGACCATTGCATCTTGTAAAGACCAACTGTCAGGATTCGATTGTTTATCATAATTGTCTATGTAGTATCTTTGGAATTCATCTTGTACATGAACATATGGACGACCATCAAGCCATCGACGGCCACAAATACGCATGAAGTCCAAAAGTTCATACAATGTTCCCCATACGTATATTGGTCGTTGGGATGTCAGAACTGTTTTCATTAACTCTTCAATTTTTTTAAATCTCATTGTATTGTCTTTTGGCAAATGACAATATTCAATTATCAATACAACAGATGTTTCTTCTTTTGTTGTTAATAGTATTTGAATAAGTGATGGTATATTATTAAATCCTTTCCGTGCTGTTCCTTCGGTATCAATTATGAATGATTCTGAAGTTTTTGCTAATTCAATGAATTCATTTAATGATCTGATGGTCGTTGTACGATCTATGAAATGACCTTGCCAATAATCTGGTTTAAATGGAGGATATTTTATTGCATACTCATGATTTTTGATAATGTGACGACGATTATTAATGTAGAATCTTCTTGAATTGCCATGAAGATGTTCGGGAATTCCCCAATTCATCTTGAACTTTCTGTAGTGCTACAGGTGACAACATTCTAAACAAAAATGGGAATTGTCAAATTATTTCAATCTACAGTTTCTCAAACAAAAAAAAAAACCCGAGTTTCCTCAAAAGAAAGCTCCCGTGTTTCCGATGAAAATAATATCGTCGAGTTTTCCGAAGGAAGCTCCGATGTTACGGTATTTTCCACTACGTCCTTTATGATATTTCCCTTATGCTAAATGAATAAGTTATAGATGTAACAGATCTTCAAGATGGTGTTATGAATGACAGTTAAATTAATGTGTGTCAATTGTAGCCATAGTGAGACCTCATCTTTGATTATTCCAATGTCGACCTTGAAATCATCAGATGATATGAATCAAAAACTCTTGAGTACCACTATTTAGAAATTTTGTTCTACTATATAACATTACAGTAGCCCATTCAGTCAGTGATCACAAAAAGTTATTCCCCGGCTGACATTACTAAATTAATTGTTTTATAAGGCCACAAATAATTCTTGGCTAATTGACAGTATTGATGGTAATTCAAATACGTTCAAATAGCGGTAACATTACATCGACAGTTACTTGTCGACATAAAGTAGGTTTTTTCAGGTGTTCGACGATGAAGGTTTTCGAAGCAATTTGCTTGATAATTTGAAATGGACCTTCATATCGAGTATCAAATTTGTATCGCATACCAATAACTTTGATGAGCACAAATTGTCCTACTTTATATGATGGATTCGAACGATTTTTATCATAACGTAGTTTGTAAATTTTCCGATGTTGAACTATATTCGATTTTGCTTGATCTGTTAAATTCGCCAAACATTTGTATAATTTTTGTATACGCTCTGGATCTTGTGTAAGCGATATGTTTGGATTTTGATGGTCGAATGGTAATAAAAAGAAATGCAAAATATCCGGTTATTTTTTAAATGCAAATATAGATACCAGTAACTAACTGTATGGTTATAATGTTCCGATTACCAGCAGTTTACCGAAAATAAGAAGATTGTATTGTCTTTGTTAACACTAGAACGCCCGGATATTTTCATGGCCTAGAACGCCGAAAGCGGTCATTTTGACCGTTACTGTTTTTTTTAAAAATTTTATAATTAAAAAAAGGTTCTGAATTCAAAAATGAATTAAAAATTCTGCAAAAAATAATTTTTGAAATAAAATCACATTTTGACCGTTAAGTTGCAAAGAACTTGACAAGAAGTTCGAAATGGCATGGAACATATGTAATCAATCACACTAAATCTGGTGGCAATGTTCGTTTTCAGAAAAGGAGTCAAGAACAACTCATTCACAGCGGCTCCAAGAAGCGACACGGGGCACTGGGCATTTTGCAATGTGGTGTGAATAACTAGAAGCCTGAGATAAACTTCATTTTTTACCTTCTCAAATTTAGCTCGAAAAACTGTATTTCGCCAGTATAAGCTTGAATATATACGTAGTACCCACATCGAACTGGCTAAAATGTACCCCTTGGAATTCTCTTCCGAATGGCTATAATGCGAATTTTTATGTCCTTATTATCGTGTTTTCAATAATGCTTTTGCAAAAGCTCTGTGACTGATTTTTCAGCTTTTTCAACCTGCATTTTGGAGCTGTTTGTAAAATGGACAGTGCTCACTCAAAAATGAACGAATCAGACTCATTCTTGCGTCATTTTGAAGAGAAGCGTTTTATCTAATCGATTCGCGTACTAATTGTCTCATGTTACTTCTCTGGAAATAGTTGAAACGCCCAAACTATCCTTTTGTTCGTTTTGGGCTTCCAGTTTAACTAAACATTTTTATCACAGCGAACGGATAAGCCGAAATGAATCTTGCTTTAACTGATAGAAGATATCCAAATGTGCCCAAGAAATGACCTGAGATCTTTTTTTCTGTCATTTTGGACATGGTTTTCAAAATTCAAAACCGTCGTCGGAAACCTTTTTCTTTTTTGAAAGTTTTGGGGCATGTTGATTTCTGTTCAAGTAAAACGGAATCTCAAGTCTCAGGATCATCTCCTACATACCATTTTGTACGGAATTAGATGGTGAATCGTTTGCAAGAAACAGCTGAATTTTATTATATGTATTTCATATAGATAACATCAATTTACAAAGAGAGGTCAAAACTTTTGGATCACCCTGTATGTTTCATACAACTATGCTGCATTGAATATCAGTTTCATATCAGATTTACTGATGCAGAAGTGGTAGGTTGCTCCTTATTACACGATCATTATTCTGTTGTTGGTTAAATTTCTGAGTATTGTAGGGAGGATGATAAACAATTACATGCATTTAACCCTGACACGAACACCTGGGGTCCAAATGGACCCCAACAAATTTCAAATTAATGTTAGTGATTTCTCCGCCTGGAGTATCTCAGAAGGGCTTCCAATACATTCTATTTTTCCTGGTGTTTAGTGCGATCCAAATAATGTGAGGTGAAGGTGCACATGGCCCGGCGCCTGCCGATGTTTTTACGATTCGCTGGTAGTTAGTGGCCAGGGCCGAGACAAGCCCGACGTAACCAACACACCCAAATTAGTCTTCTACATTGGCATTTTTGGCCATGAAGAAAGCACCTGGTAAATTTTGTTGGGCTATCAGATATGTCAAGAACAGAATGATCTGAATTAGGAATTAAATTAGAATTAGAATAGAAATCTATAAAATTATTTCCGCAAAATTATTATTAGAATGATAAACTACCGACTTACAGTATACAGTCCATCGCTCTAACGTTCTTCAAACCAGTACAAAGGACATGCTCTCAGGCGATCCTAGTCTCCTCATCCTCCCAGTTTGCAAACCTTTCCACAATTCTTTTCTCCTCGGGTTTCTGTTTGAGATGCCGCGAAGTGTGGGCATCGTTTCACTGACACCGAACAATCGATGTAAATCAAGCAAAAGATCGGCTTTTGTTTGCAACATTTCATAGCATGTTTAGGAAATAGACATGATATTCGTGGACGATGTAGATGTTGGAGGTGGCCTGCTGTCCCTCTGGGTTGCTGACTTTATCTGTTCGAGACCTTCTGTGTTACGTGTGTTTTTAAGGATAGTCTCGAGACAGATGTGGCTATCCCTCGAGTGACCATGCTTATAGCCGAACGATGTATGCTGTTGACAAGGGCGGGTATCGTTTGACTAACCATCTTCATACTCGAACAATCGATGTAAGTCAAGCGAAAGATGGCTTTTTGTTTGCAACATTTCTGGTCAGCTGGTCGGCGTTGGAAAGAAAACGTGAATGCACAAGAAGGAAAAGAAGAACCAGAAGACTAATGGTTGATATTTCGTTTATCATGTCATTATGTTTTCGGTTTGGATCTGTCGCGCAACTGTAAGCGGCTTTCCTGCTAGTCAGATATATTAGCGCTCCGCTGATTATTTGGATTATTTTTAATGTTCTAGGATACGTTATGATAGTTCGACGGGTTGTAGCAATACGGGCGGTTATAGTTATGATTGGGGTTGTGATTATGGTTGTGATGATGGTGGAAGAAGAGGCTATATAAAGAATAGATTGATAAACTGTAGAAATTATTGTTTATATATGTTCGTTCGTTTTTGTCATGGTCTTTTTGATGTTTAATAAACCGGAGCGCAATAGAAGAAGATTTTGTTTCAGCTTGCTCTTTCGTTTGGTTTGTCTTACATCGTAACAGATACAGACGTACGGACGGAGTAATAACTCTCAAACGTAAGTGGATTCGATACAGCCTGAACTATGGAGACATTTTTGTCCAAGAGGAAGTTGTAGTTGAATTCAGTGAATTTGGAAGTTCTTTGCTCTTTCCTACCGGAAAAAGCTCAAAAATGTCCAAAGTCCTGCTAAAAATCGAAAAATCATTCTTACAAAAGTGAAGCAACCGGAATTGAGATTTTTGTTGACGGAGTTGGAGTTAGAGCTGAAAAATTTTGAGCGGAGTTGGAGCTGGAGTTGGATCGGAAATTTGAAAACCGAGTTGGAGTTGAAAGTCAGCGGAGCTTCCCAGCCCTGTACTAGCTGTTCACTAATAAGAAGTTTACTAATAAGAACTGTTGGTAGTTTATTACCGATAACCGAAAAATACTGGACGATTTTGGCATGTTAACTACGGCTGGTAGAAGAATATGAAACGTTCAGTGGCAGTACCTATAGTTGCCTGTAGCTGAAGCATTTGGCAATTGATTACCTTCATGTCACCTGTGAATATTTCAGGAACGCGCAGAGAAAATCGAAGAACGAAAAATGGAATGAAAACTGATAGCGAATAAGAAGTGCATGGGGAACCAGCTGCGCAACCATACGTTCTTCCATTTGATTCCTCTCATCCTATACATATCAAACAAAATATTGTTTATTCTGCCGTGTTCAGAGCCGTTAGAATTTCTTCCCATGGATGTGATCTGAAAAAACAGATATTTGAGATAATGTTGAGATTACCGTTGAGCCAATAACCGAGTAAATTTATCGATGAAACATTTATATATACTGTTATTTGTTTCTTGATGATGAAATTTTAAATTTCGAAACATCGACTTCTATATATGTAAACTTTTTTTTGTGCTCATTTTAATTAAATATATACTTTATTCAATTATAAATGGCATATCTAGTAGAGGGGTTGCTCTTAGTTATTACTGAAATTATTGTCCCTACGAAAGCAAAAATCGGACAATCTAGTGGCAAAAATGGAGTGAACATCTGCCAATGGTGTAACCTCAAATGCGTCGATCCGTAATTGATAGAAATTTGCCAACATTGGGACAAATGTAAAATGAATTAATAAATCGTTTTCAGGGTCTGCTGTTTTTTGGGGGCGATTCCAGTTGACTTCCCAACCTTTGCCCTGCAATATTTATATTTCACTTACGATACATAAATGGATTCTAAACTTCACAATCTCATAACTTTCATTAGGCGATCAATGTTTCATCGATAAATTTACTCGGTTATTGGCTCAACGGTAATCTCAACATTATCTCAAATATCTGTTTTTTCAGATCACATCCATGGGAAGAAATTCTAATGGCTCTGAACACGGCAGAATAAACAATATTTTGTTTGATATGTATAGGATGAGAGGAATCAAACGGAAGAACGTATGGTTGCGTTAAATTAAAAAACGTCAGCGCGTAAATTTTTTTCGAATTTTTTTTAAAGGTCCCCGACTTTAATTTTCGGAAGTACCCCGGACCAAAAATCATGGACCCATAGGCAATCGACCACGCTGATTCCGAGTATCGCCTTCCCCCGGACTCTAATCGCGTTTGAAAATTTCGGAGTCCGGTGATATGTAGCTTGTTTTTCATCGTCCTCCATAACCATGCATTCTTTCGATCTCATATTACGACCACTGAAAGACCATGCTCGATTCTACATGTGAACAAAGTTTCAGCTATAAAGCTCAAGAACTGACCGAGAACCGTGCCAATCAATCTCTGGTACTCAGAGGTGGTTGCTGGAAACAGATGTCATTTTCCTCGTTTTTCGAGCGTTTCTTTTGTAGTGTTGAGTGACAGGATATCGATCAGTTGTCTGACGAGCGGCATTCACACATGCTGACATCTTGGGCAATGTTCACAAAGTGTGTGCACAAACCCGCACAGAAAAGACGGAATTGGAAAAAGCGGAATTTATGCATACATTGCAGATAAATATCCCGCATATTTAAACTTTGTTTGTTTATTTTTAAACTTTTAGATGGAGTCCAGCCCAAGAGAAAGTACTGATGACGTGAGCACCAGTGCTAGTGGACATTCTGGTGAGCCAACAGGCTTCCTCCGCACAGCAGATATATCGAGAAAAGAATGGAAGATAACGCATTGTAATTTGCAATGAAGTATAAGACATTGAACTGTTTAGTATATTACAATCTGCCGAGATTACTGAATGGATGATAATTTGCTAAAACTATCTAATGACTTACAATTCATTAATTGTTTCTATAAAGTATAATACATTAAAAAGCTAACGAATTGTCATGCATTAAAAGTAGTTATTGTTGTGGAAATTTCGTTATAACACAGTACAAGTATTTAAAAAATTATAATGCGTTAGCTATACTAATCAATAATAATGTGTTAGACACAGTAGGGCATTATATCACATTAAACTACGTAGTATCCGCATTATTGTGCGTTAACACTTAGTCATTCATTATAATGTGCTCCAATTTGAGCCTTAATGCGAGTTTCAAGCACGATAATAGATTAAAAAATGGTTTTCATAAATTAATGACCTTTAATGCATAAATAATGGATTATAACGGCTTAGCATAATAAATATCGTCTTTAACGAATTATAATCTCCTATTCTTTCATACATTTTACTTAGCCTTTTATGCTTTTATGCATTATAATGCATAACAATTTTAATCTATTATCATGCTTATCGTTTTTTAATTTTTGTTAATGTACATTAAAGCCTCAAAATTGTTCAATAGGTTAACACAAAAAAGAAATTTGTCGCCGAGTTTCAGTGAAATGAACTGATTATCATGTGTTAGTCATTTTCTATCACTCATTTTTTAGATATGTAAAAATGAACTGGTAATCTCAGCTACGACAGTGAACAAAAAAATCTGTTTGTACTTTTCACTTTAATTTTATTTTGCTTTTCTGCGACAAGAAAAGAATATGATTATTTTTAGCATTTAATTTATTCTACTAGCCATTTAATAACACATATGGAAGAAAAAAATTAACATAAGAAATAAAAGAAGTGAAGAATAAGGCTGACGTTTTACGTTCCACAGAAAAATAAAAATAATTCTCAATTTTCAGCATTCAGCATTCATTTCATATATATATATAATACTCACAGAGCAAGAACAGAAAAGTAAAAACAACAATTAACAGGCACGTTTCGGTAAGGTAACGATCTGCATAACACTCCAAAGATTTCTTCTCTTACAAAAACATGCTATAAATTTATTATTCCTTGACTGACCTGATTCAAACTTTCAGGATGCGTTTCTTTTTTGGATCTTTTGCAAATTATTTGAATCTCGAAGTCACTAAACATTGAGTGGAAGCAATTGTAAAAGTTTGAGTCAATTATGTCAAGAAATAACAAATTTATTAATCATAGTCCATGAGATAGGCATGCACTAGTTATAGAATATTCACATTTCTGTCACAAATAGCTTCAAAACTTTTTGTAGGTTTTGATCCTGTAGACCAAACATTACTCTACAAAATGAGACGTTCCACAACTCTTATCGCTTCTCTATAATCAGATTATAGCTAACACCAGTTTAAACTGATGTATACTTAATCATAGGCATATTTAGAATACTGTCTATGAAACAATCAGTGCACTTTGGCATCTTGAATATCTGAAGAACGAAATAAACTATTAATAGGCAGTGCGAACAATACTCAGAGCTATTTCTAATCAAACAAATAATTCGAGGTTCCTAACAAAAAAAGAAACATGGAACAAAGCTTTTTTTACAAACGCAAAAACCCATACTGTCTATTAGTAGTTCATTTCTTTCTCCAGATATTCAAAGATGATAAAGTGCACGACTTCTTTTTTACTGATATGCCTATAATTGATCCGCAAAATGATCTTTTTTAAAGTTTTTTGGCGATTCGGTTTCGTAGAACAAACATTTCTCTACAAAATGAGATATAACAACACTTTCCATCTTGGATGAGTACTCAGATAGAAAATGTTTGTCAAACGTCTCACGACCAGTATTAATACCGGTTTAGGGCTTTTCATCGAGAAGCGATTATGGCTGACAGAAAAGAACTGAGGGATTGTGCTATTATTTGTGCTATATTTTGTAGAAAATGTTGGCTCTACAAAACTAAATCGACAAAGAATTTTGATGGTTGGTAAGTTTCAGTCAATCTGATTCAGAAAAAGAAGAAAATATACCGGTGAATGTCTAATAATGACACATAGGAGCTGGAATTGAGTAAACTAAACGGTTTCGATCGCATGGTCGGATCCGATGCCAGATTCATGCAGGCGCGTTTGGCTGTAGGGAATAACCGAATCCAACCATTTTTGACAGCTACATCAAATCTAACGTCCGATATTGGTCTAAAATCGACATTTCCATCTGGTATCCATCAGGATCATTAGACTCCATGGGATGAATCCCTAATGAGTTACCGTATTGATACTTATTTTAGTCTCATTCTGACTGCATAGAATGGCAACCAGTGATAAAAAACATGTAATGTTATCGTATCAGTGGGATAATAAAGAATTAGTATCAGGGATTTATAGTCGTTTGAAAGCACAAAATATTCGTGTCTGGATGGATATTCAAGGGGGAATGAAGATACATTTAGCTGAAAGGTAAAAAGTCTTTTTCTTTTTTAAATATTTTATGTATCTTATTTTTTACTCTAGCATGGCTGAAGCAGTGGAAAAAGCTGCTGTTATTTGCTGTTTTTTAACACCCAAATATCAAGAGTCTAAAAACTGTAAACTTGAATTGCAATATGCCATTGGTCGAAATGTTCCAGTTATACCGTGTATGATGTGTGCCGACTATAAACCATCAAACTGGCTTGGTATTACATTAGCTGATGTTATTTGGCTTAACTTTCGTCAACTGTCAAATGATAATATGGATTTGAAAGTGGCCGAGTTGATCGATCGAATTCGTCTATGTGTGGGTGATAAATTCGATTTATTATTGGGTAAATGGGGACTCTATATACATTCTAATTTATTTAAGACACTTGTATAGCGTTTAGATCAACAGATTTCGGTTCAAAAAGATACTGAACGAAAACCAGGACGAATAAAATCAGCAACTGTTGGTGAGACAAAAAATAGATTAGTATCGAAGCGTCCGCCGTCAGCCCTACACAAATTATCCACTCAGACCATTCCCGAAACACCTTTTATTGATTACAAAGTTGATTATAGCACCAAAATATCAAAGCCAGTTCGTGAAGGACCAGAAATACATATCGACAACGTTGGTGATCGTAAACTAACAAAATATAAATGTGAAGATGATTCAATTGTGCGTTTAATACTTGGTAGTAATACATTGGTGACATGTAATCAAGAATGGTTTAGTCGTGATCAAAAGTTTACAAATTATTTTTTTATACCAAAAATAACATTTTCAAATACCAGTGATAAACCAGTGTCTATTATTGAAGTGAAAGGTGAATATGAAGATCACGATCATTCATGGAAACAATGTAAAGATGTTAAAATTGGTCCAACAACAAATGATAATGAATACAAATGGAATGGTGATACGATCGTTAATTTAGCAGCGCATACATTGATCGGCTTTGCTGTTCGATTAGATATTGAAATAAATGGTAAATCAGGCATTGATAATATCCGACGAGCAAGAGCACACAAAAGTTTACCACAACCGCTGAAACTGAAAATAATAGTGGAAGATACGGATAATAAAGAATGTAGTTTAATTGTTGAACAACAAAATATAGCGCTTGAATTACCAACAAAAGAAAATTGTATATCTCACTGGACGGAAAAAGATAGTAATGATGGACTTCGAGAAATGATTGCATTTGTTTATGCCGATGATTGTGAAACAGATAAGCGTACATTTATTTCTATGTATATCGCTAACGATGGAAATATAAATATTCGTTGTGGCAACGATGTCGGCCGTAGTGGACAAATTTGGTATTTAGGTAACGAAAGAGTAAAATCCTTACAATCGGATGCTAGAGAAAAGAATGTTAATGAAATCCCCATCGAAGAGCAACATGGAAATGTACTAGCCCTGTTTGACCCAGAAAACGGATATAGACTGTACGCAATACGAATTGAAATAACAACTGGAACATCAAAAACCGTTGAAACGTTGTTATTACCATCAGTGACGTTAGCAAAATTGGAGTAATTTTTTGGAGTGGATGCGATTTCGACAGAAAAATTCTTCAACAGAAATCAGATCACTCAAAACTTATTACGGAAGATACTAATTTCCACCGCTGTTGGATCTCCTGCAAACGCATTAACTTCCGTTCCTTTTGTTCTTATATTTCATTTCGTACATGACATTTTTGTTTTGTCAGCGAAAAACATTATTAAAGAGTATCTCTACCGCAATGCATCGGCAAAAGTCAGTGAGATGAATAATTCACGAACCAAGACGTTGATTTATACGGCTTGGTCACGTAACCCTGCTACTGTTATGATTCGTCAAGGTTTTTCCGTATCTTGTTTTTCTTTCTTACAGTTTTCGAACCAAAATACTTCCAGAGCTCTGCAACATCTTACGTTGATGACAAAAGTGCGCTCTATAGTCCCGCACTCTACATGTTCTTTTGTTAAGGGAATATCACAAAAAATTGAAACTACTACTGTTCAAAACCGATCCGAAAAAGTAATCATGTGTATTTTTGCATTATTTTCTAAACAAAAGTAGATGCAGAGTGGGGAACAACTATTTATTATGTTAATGATTAATCTATTGTTAATTAATTTATTAATTGTCTTATGTTCAAGTATGTATAAATACATATCTTCAAACAACTGTATAAATGAACAAATTTGCGTTTTTCCATGTTAGAAGTTTTTTGAAAAAATATCGAAGGCAGCTCAATTCTTCAAAAAATGTTCAAGTCTAAAGCCAATGACTTGAATTTATTTTATTTCTGAAATGGATTAGACCCACTCCTTCTCCTTTCTGGTAATTCCGATGATTTCTGAAGACCGGAATCCGCTCAATTCCTTTGCATTACGATATCCGGAACCAATCGGATCCGTTAATTTCCGGTCACCGCAAATTTGTTCCTGTAATGTGCACTTTTTTGTTTTTTTTCTTTCTTTTTTGTGCGCATAATATATTCACCGTTTTCAGTAGTACTTTAATGCGACACTGAAGAAATTGCAAAACTTGCAGAAATTGCGAAATTGCAAGAACTTGTCTCCAAAATCATCGGCCTGGGTTAGTGGCATTTTTCATTATTTCAGGTTAGTCCACTTTTAGTTGATTCCGAGAAAGAATCCAAATAAGCATACAGTTTTAAAATATAGGCGTCCCAAAGATGGGGAAGCCGCTGTCTGTTTTTTAAAAGTACTTGCTCCAGAATTAAAGAAAGATATTATTTTACTCTCTTAGAATAAAGTGTACGTCTAGCTCTTAAGAAAACTGTTGACAAAAAAAGTTCTAACTGACTGGAAAACGTTTTTCCGAAATCGTACTTCCAAGTATCCATTATGGCACTCACTTCTAAAACTTTTTGCTCCTACCCGCTTTTGACTCTTTGGGACGTTCCTAAATTCAAAGTCAAATCGATTGGTGTATAGTAAATTTCGATTTGATCAAATGTTTACAGAGACATTTGCAATCTAATTTTAGTCTACACTTTCTTGTATTCTTGCTAGATAACACGAAAAAGATGAAAGATTTTAAACTTGCTTTCGGATTAGAAATGCAGTTTTTGGATGTTGAAATCGAGTAAAAGTGGGAATGTTCAGTGGACACTTTTTTTGCAAAAAAGCATGATTTCATTTTGATAAAACTTCGGACTCTAGCTTTGTATTGCTTTCTAGTGTAAAAATCTGACGAGAAAACTAAAATTAAATGCAATCTACCGGGACTGTCTTGATGGGCTTTTTTTATATTTTGCCGAGGAAACTTAATGTGATTTTCAAGTAAATAGTATATTTATTCCCTGTTAAAAATAGATTGGTCTTTCGAGGGAACCGATTTAATTGTCAAATCGTTTTTTCAATAAGATCGAGTGGATTATAGATTATCGACTATGTTGATTCCGAATATGACCATGGCAGTTGCCTATAGATCTCCAGAGATCCGGTTTCTGGAAAACCAGTTTTTCAGAAACTTCAGAGAGTAACCAAAACCTTTCTTAATGAGGCTTAATTGTAGCTCGTACATTTCTGATTAAAATAAGACATCACCAGCTCTATACAACCTTTCTTTTGCAAAGTTATAGAATTGACAAGAAAAGCCCTAAATGTTCATTGTGAGCTCAAAGCTACAGAAATAAGAAGCAATTTATTTAGAGCTTTTCTTGTAAATTCTATAACTTTGCAAAGAAAGGCCGTGTAGAGCTGGGAGATATCTCATTTTAATCGGAAATGTGCGGGTTATAATCATGCTTCACTAGAAAAGGTTTTGATTACTTTTTAAAGTTTCTGAAAAACTGATTTTCTAGAAACCGGATCTCTGGAGATCTATAGGCAACTACCATGGCCATATTCGGAATCAACATAGTCGATAACCTATAATCCACTAGGTCTCATTGAAAAAACGATTTGACAGCTAAATCGGTTCCTCGTTTGTTTTAAAATTGAAAATCATTAATCTGTTTTCTGGTTTTTATTTTTAATTTCAATAGAAACGAATAAACACCTTCAATAAAAGAACCAAGGTATAGTAGAATTTTTTATTTGCTCTGTAAAAAAGGTTTTCTTTTCACCTTTCTATATGTTATATAGATATGACGAAAAGGGTATTACATACAATGATCCATACGCATTAACAAATCCGGTATATATTCAATGAATTTATATTTAAATACAAAATTATTAAATTTTATACATTATTATCAAGCATTACAAACAAATTTTCCTATCATTGTGTATGTCCATTCTGTTTTGTAACACAATACTGATAATATAGTATGTATGTATTTATTTTTAGGTTGAATATATATTTTTTCTCTTATTATTCAGTTATGTTATGTTATTTCAATTTAATGAACCAACCAATCAAATACCATCGATACATTGGGCAGAAATATTATTATATATTATACTTAATTGTATGATAATTCAAGAATTTTGTTATGTGTGTATCTCCCAAGTTCCTAATCGGACCAGTTTTTGATGGCCCGATCCGGCCAAAAGCAGTCGATGCCCGCCCGACCCATCATGCTAATCGACTGACCCGTGCTCAAGCACCAAAATTGTTTTAAGACTAAATTCAACTTTATTATAGAAAAAACGCAGAAAGTTTTTCTAATCAACAGTAGTACCAATAAATTAAGAAAACAGGAGTATTTTTTGGATAACAGAATCGGCTAGATAATAGTAACATCTACTGTTACTAGGAAATAGCCAGATTTAACTGAATATTTATAGAAAACTTTTAAATTTCTCGGGTTGGGCTGGTCTGAAATAAACGTTGACCGTCAGACCTGAAAAATTTTCTTAGCCGCCCGTCCGGCATGAGAAAAAAAATCGAACGACCTGGCCAGAGGCAAGTCTGTCCCGAACTGGGTCATCAGGTCGGACGCAGCAATAGGCGCTCCAGTAAGTATATGATTAATTTTTATGTAACTTCTCTCGTGACTTTCTCTGAAAAACGAAGAACGTGGAGTGAAAGTTCGTAAAGGGAGAAACTACCGGAAATCTGAAAATTTTATTGTGATCGTACTTTTGTTTTAGTTTTCAATACAAGATAATATATCATTATCGGGAAAATATAAAACGTATTTTGGTCAATTTTTTAAAAAAATGAGTTTAATAGCTTATATTTTGTTTTATATTCCCAGGCAAACATCACCTATGAGGCAGTGCACGATAGGGACGAACTAAGTTGCTCAATGAACTTTGACAAATGTTTCTCAAATTTTCAGAGCAGATAGAGAAATGTGTCTTGAACATTTTTGTCTCTTGATATTTTTTTCCAAAGTGTTTTCCCTCAACGCTAGAGCGCTTGCAGAAAAGTTCGTAAAATACGGAAAAAAAGTGATTTTCCAGTCAAAAATTTTGCTTAAGCTATAGTTCGGTCAAATCAAATGCTAATGAGCTTAAATTTTTACCAGAACTGTCTTGGTATGAGTACTGCCTATGAAATTTGAACTTGTTTGAGTTAAGCGCTCTCCACAAATAGTTTATTCTTTAGACATAAACAAAACAATCAGTAGAAGTAGTAATAATAGTCAATCAATAGAAAATCGAAAATCAGAAATTTATAGAAAGCCAGAAAATCGACAGGGCTTCCAGGATTTCAGAGGCACTAGCCGTAGGCAAAGACAGCTCATCAAACACACAGCATTCGATATAGTTTGTCGAGCTGCATCTATTGGCAGTAGTTTCAGCAATGGTTTATGCTCTCAAGCGAATCGTCGATGACAATAATAACCCAAATGCTCTCTTACTGACCTCCAGAGGCTTGCACTAGGCCTGGACTAGGTGAGTTTAGCTGCGTCAATCATACACCATTTGGTTAGGCTCATCGAGCTGCATCGTTTGCCATTAGTTTCATCAATGGCTTTTACTATCGAGCGATTCGTTAGTGATAATACTGGGTCAAATGCATGCCTCCTGATTTCAAAGGCACTCGCCGTGGGACTTTCTGGAGGCCCCTTTGAACTTAGTTTCATAATTTTCCCCCATCAAAATATCTTTTTTGTGCTTTTATGGAACACCAACCACCTTCCCACGCGCTTATCCAGCACCAGACGATTGCATACAGAGTCAGTACTCGTTGCTTTCACGTCACTTGTTTTATATGGATAGAGTGAGTCAGAGTCTCTTTCTTTTGGCGGACGTGGACCAGAAAAAAAGAACGCCGTATACGTCCGTGTCCGCAAAAGGAAAGAGAACCGGTAAAGACCGGTTCCAACTCTGGAGTGAGTTGTTTTCTAGAGGGCAGAGATTTCTCTCGTTGACTAAGGACGTAAAACTAGCATTCTCCTTCGCATTGCTAAATATTCCTTCATTTCGAGTAACTAAGCGTCGATTATTTACCACCACTTTTCTTTTAGAACCAAAAGCGAAACATCTTATTTTCACTTCCGTAAAAATAGCAGAACTCAAAGCTACATCCGCGAGTCACACTGACTAGGCAAGAAAGTTGAGCACACCACCGAATCCAACGCTTGATATATTTATATAGAAAGTAAATTCTTATCGTATCCTACG